GAGAGAAAAATTAAGAATGAAAATTTCACAGGATCCAGAAAAGCAGTGAAAGGAAGTTTTAGGATGATGGTGTTTTGTCAAATGCTGCTTCTGCTCCAGATTGGTGTTCCAGTGTATAGGGAAGCTATTATGAAAAAGGAGGATTTTAAGCAGTTAATAGTATGATGTAGCTGATGAAAAATAAATGAAAACCTAATGAATGAGATTATTTTGGCAGCAGTAAAAGAAAGACATTTAGAAATATTGGGGAATATAAAAAGCTGTTCAGGAAAATAAGTCATGATTTAAAAGTGATGCGAAGTAAATGATCTTAAAGCAACTAAGGAAGTCTAAGACTTTAGTATCATAAACATTCCGTTTCAAGAGGCCCAGGGATTGTATCACTGCACCTCTGGAAAATAAAATACAATCCTAACTGCATATCTCATATCCTGATAGGAATAATATGTGTAATATATATGACAGTGCGTATATTGTCATATAGTGTAAGCATTCTTCATTGATTTTCATACTCTCAGAGTCATCCTATAGGAAGAGCACAGAATATTTAGTTGTGGCTACACTCTCAAAAACTTGCTGCCTTCAAGTCGATTCTGACTTGTAACAACCCCTCCTTGGGTTTCCCAGGCAATATCTCTATGGAAGTAGATTGCCAACTCTTACTTCTGAGCAGTGTCTGGTGGGTTTGAACTGCCAGCTTTCTGGATAGCAGTCAAATGCCTTAGACACTGTGCCACCAGAGCTCCCAGTTGTGGCTACAAAAATCCTCTAATTGATTAAAGTAAAAATGTAGTTGAGAAAAGTGGGAGGTAGAAGGAAGGAAATTCAATCAAAGGGGAGGATATGGACACTAAATACCTAATGGTATAAAGAATTAAGATAATAACTCCTTGGTGGAGCAAAAATGTAGATATGATTATACCAAGTCCTCACTTACCATATATCTCATTCTATGACATTTCACATTTACAATAGTAAAAATTCTACTGTCCAGCTATGTGTGCATTCATGATATATGTCTGGCAGTACTGAATGCCAAGGTGGGACATGAGTCTCAGTGGTTTCACAGTTATATAACAGTGTGACTTGACAGTTATGGAATGATGTAGTCATGCTCCATTTTTTGATCTGATGTGGCTGTCCTCCATTTTCGAATACCATAGATTTTCACATAACAACCTGGTCTTTCAGACAACTGTGTTGATAAGTGAGAAGTTGGTATATATCATTTTAACTTAGGTAATAACTGGCACATAACAACAACAACAATAACTAATAACACAGTTAATAATAATACTTATTATAATATGATTATTCAGTACTGGAACAAAATGGGGGTAAGTGAAGGCAAGAAATATGTTGCTGTTGTTATTGCCAGCGAGTCAGCTCTGACTCACAGCAACCTTACGTATAACAAAATGAGACATTGCCCAGTCCTGCACCATCCTCACAATCCTCACTATGCTTAAGCCTATTGTTGCAGCCACTGTGTTAATCCATCTTGTTGAGGGTCTTCCTTTTTTGTTGACCCTTTACTATACCAAGCATGATATTCTTTTCCAGCGACAGGTCCCACCTTGAGAGTATGACCAAATATGAGAGATAAAGTCTAGTCATCTTTATTTCTAAGGAGCATTCTGGCTATACTTCCTCCAAGACAGATTTGTTCCTTCTGGTAGTCCATGGTATTTTCCGTATTTTTCACCAACACAACAATTCAAATGCATCAATTCTTCTTTGGTCTTTCTTATTCACTGTCCAGCTTTCACATGCATATGAGGCTATTGAAAAGACAATGGCTGTACCTTAGTCTTCAGAATGACAGTTTTGCTCTTTAACATTTTAAAGGAGTCTTCTGCAGCTTATTTGCCCAATGCAATACATGATTTGATTTCTTGATTGCTGTTTCCATGGGTGTTGATTGTGGATCTAAGTAAAATAAACCCTTGACAATTTCAATCTTTTCTCCATTTATAGTGATGTTGCTTATTGGTCCAGTTGTGAGGATTTTTGTTTTATGTTGAGATGTAATCCATACCAAAGCCTGTATTCTTTGATCTTCATCAGTAAGTGCTTCAAGTTATCTTTGCTTTTAGCAGACAAGGTTGTGTCATCTGCATATTGCAGGTTGTTAATGAGTCTTCCTTCAGTCTTGATGCCACGATCTTCTTCATATAGTCCAGCTTCTCAGACTATTTGCTCAGCATACAGATTGTGTAAGTAGGGTGAAAGGATACAACCCTGGTGCACACCTTTCCTGATTTTAAACCATGCAGTATCCCCTTGTTCTGTTTGAACAACAGCCTCTTGGTCTGAGTACAGGTTGTTCATGAGCACAGTGAAGTGTTCTGGAATTCCCATTCTTCTCAATGTTACCCATAATTTGTTATGATCTACATAGTCAACTGCCTTTGCATAGTCAATAAAACACAGGTAAACATCTTTCTGGTATGATTTGCTTTTAGCCAAGATCCATTTGACATCAGCAATGATAATCCCTTATTCCATGTCCTCTTCTGAATCTGCTTGAATTTCTGACAGTTCCCTGTCCGTGTACTCCTGCAACCAATCATTTTTTAATTATCTTTAGCAAAATTTTATTTGCTTGTGATATTAATGATTTTGTTTGATAATTACATTCTGTTAGATCACCTATAGAATGGGCACAATAGAGATCTCTTCCAATCAGTTGGCCTGGTAGCTGTTTTCCAAATTTCGTGGCATAAATGAGTGAGCGCTGCTAGCGCTGTATCCATCTGTTGAAACATCTCAGTGAGTATTCCATCTGTTCCTGGAGCCTTGTTTTTCATCATTTCTTTCAGTGCAGGTTAGACGTCTTCCTTCAGTAGCATTGGTTCTTGATCCTGGGCTGCCTCTTGAAATGGTTGATATTGACCATTTCCTTTTGGTACAATGACTCTGTGTATTCCTTCCATGTTCTTTTGATACTTCCTGCATTGTTCAATATTTTGCCCATGGAATCCTTCTGTGTTGCAACTCGAGGCTTGAATTTTTTCTTTAGTTCTTTCAGCTCAAGAAATGCTGATCATTATCTTCCTTTTGATGTTCTAATTCCAGTTCTTTGCACAGTTCACGATAATGCTTTACTTTGTCTTCTAAAGTTGCCCTTTGAAATCTTCTATTCAGTTCTTTTACTTCATCATTTCTTCCACTCACTTTGGCTATTCTTTTTTTAAGAGTAAGTTTGAGAGTCTCTTCTGATATCCATATTGGTCTCCTTCTTCCTTTCCTGTCTTTTTAATGACCTTTTTACTTTCTTCATGTGTGATGTTCTTGATGATGTCCTACAACTTCTCTGATCTTTGGTCATTGGTGTTCAATGCATCAAATCTGTTCTTCAGGCAGTCTCTAAATTCAGGTGGGATATATTCAAGGCTATATTTTGGCTCTTGTGAACTTGTTTTAATTTTCTTCAGCTTCAGCTTAAACTTGCATATGAGCAATTGATGGTCTGTTCCGTATTCAGCCCTTGGCCATTTTTTGACTGAAATTGAGCTTCTCTATCATCTCTTTAACAAATTTAGTCAATTTGATTCTTGTGTATTCCATCCAGTGAGGTCCACATGTATAGATGCCATTTATGTTGCTGACAAAAAGTATTTGCAATGAATAATTTGTTGGTCTTTCAGAATTCTATCTTGCAGTCTCTGCCCTTATTTTGTCACCAACAACATATTTTCCAACTTTTGGTGCTTCTTTGGTTCTAACTTTTTTATTCCAGTTGACAGTAATTATCCATGCATCTTGATTGCATGTTTGGTCAATTTTCAACTGCAGAGGTTGGTAAAATCTTCAATATCTTCATCTTTGGTATTAGTGATTGGTAACTTTGAGTAATAGTAATATTAACTGGTCTTCTTGTAGGCATATGGATATTATCCTATCATTTTTCTTCATGGTCAATCTTGAAATGTTCTTTTTGATGATGAATGTGACCCTATTCCTTTTTAATTTCACATTCCCAGCATGTAGACCATATGATTATCCAATTCAGAATGGCCAATACCAGTTCATTTCAGCTCGCTAATGCCTAGGATATTGATCTTTATGCATTCCATTTCATTTTGATAACTTCTGATTTTGCTAGATTCATACTCATACATTTCATGTTCCAATTATTAATGGATATTTACAGCTATTTCTTCTTATTTTCTTCAGCAGATGAAGGTCCAGAAGGCTTTACTCCATTCATGTCATTAAGGTCACCACTGCTGAGGAGAAAGCTCTTCCCCAATAGTGTTTTGATTGCCTTCCAACCTGAGGGGCTCATATTCTAGCATATATCACACAGTATTTCACTGCTATTCGTAAGGTTTTCAGTGGGCAATTTTTTCAGAAGACCACCTCTTTCTTCTTCCCAGTCTGTCTTAGTTTGGAAGTTCTGATGACCCTGCTGGTATTTGAAATACCAGTTACATAACTTCCAGCATCACAGCAATGTGCAAGCCACCACAGTACCACAAACTGACAAATGAGTGGTGGGCAGGAAGTATAAATGAGCAAAATTGTCAGGGGAAAAGAAAAAATAGTATCTAAAAGATAGTTAATAAGAAAAAGAAGTTTGAGTTTTTTCATGTGGAGTTGGAATACCAAAAGAACTAAAATTTGAAATGACAAGAGAGGGTTGGCACTGAAAATAAAAAAGGATAGGGTAGGAGAATGTTGCTTCTTGTCATAAAGTCTTCTGAACTATTTGAGTTGTTGCCTATTTAAACTTATTTAGTTCAAAACTATTGGTTTTTAAAAAGCTCCTTAAAAATGATTTCACTTTTATTTTTTAGCATATTTTAGAATATTATATATTGAAATATTATTGAATATATTATATATAGAATATTATATATTTGTTTTTAGTAACCTACAATGTTTCTAGAAGATTGTGGCTATGGATTCAGTTGACACTCTTTTGTGGGCTAATTTTTTTCTGTAATCAGTGACATTATTAAGAATTAATACTGTTGGCATGTCTGACTTTTCAGGATCAAAGCAAGTTGGAGAAACACCAACATCTGGAGACTCCATAGATGGTGCACCTCGTACTCCCAATACCATCTTTGATTTCCCACCTCCTCCATTAGACCAAGTGCAGGAGGAGGAAAGTGAAATAGAAAGGTACTGTAGTGCTACCTTTGGGGAGGTTTAGAACATGGCTTAAAGTTTTTTGCAATTGCATATTACTTGTATACTTTGTAGTATTTTTTACTTTGTGTAATTATTTGTGAAAGAATTAGAACTTTTTGGCAGTAAATATTAGATAAACCAAAAATCAAACCAAACCCACTGCTATTGAGTTGGATCTGACTCATAGTGACCCCTCCTTGGGTTTCTGAGGCAGTATCCCTATGGAAGTAGATTGCCCAACCTTCCTTCCAAGGAGTGGCTGGTAAGTTTGAACTGCCAGCCTTATGGTTAGCAGTCAAGTGCCTTAGGCATTATGCCACCAGAGCTCCTAAAATACTAGATAGATAATGAAAATTTCTTTATATTTTATGAAATTATTGTAATATCAAGAAGAACTGATTACCAAGCCACTGTACTTTAATTCAGTTTTCAGTATCTTTGGCATAAATTCCTTGACCACCATTTTGTTTTCATGTTGACTCTTTACTCTCCTTTGTTTTAGGGTAATTGAACATGGGACACCGAAGACCTTTCGAAAGTAAGTAATTTTTAAGTAGCTTTCAATAAATGCATATTTTAAGAAATGTATCTTTTCCCATAAGGTCCCAGTTTTAAAGGGAAAGAAACCCTGTCTCTATTAGACAGTATAAAAGAAACTTCTTAATAAGCACATACTCACTGTTGTCAAGTTGCTTCAACTCATAGTGACCCCTCCTTGGGTTTCTGAGACGGTATATCTCTACAGAAGTAGATTGCTCAGTCTTCCTTCTGAGGAGTGGCTGGTGGGTTTGAACCACCAACTTTCTGGTTAGCAAGTCAAATGTCTTAGGCACTATGCCACCAAAGCTCCCTAATAAGCACAAGCCATTCAAAAGATATATACTGAGGTGTATATAATAAAAGTAAGCTATTTTGTAGGAGATGATGATTTTCCAGGCTCCTCGTAAGGAAGGTTGGGCAATCTACTTCTGTAGTAATGCTGCCTCAGAAACCTAAGGATGGGTCTCTGTGAGTCGGATCCAACTCAATGGCAGTGATGCATTGATGCTGTGCTTAGCCATAAGGAGCTCTGGTGACGCAGTGCCTAAGGCATTTTGACTGCTAATGAGAAGGTTGGTGACTCAAACTCACCAGCCACTCTGTGGTAGGAAGATGGGGCAATCTACTTCCATGAAGATTTACTGCCTTGGAAACCCAGTGAGGGTGACTATGAATCAGAATCAACTCTATGGCAGTGGGTTTAGTTTGACTTTGGTGCTCAGCCATACTTCAGAAATCTGACTAATTTACTGTACTGTAAAGACTTGTGTTCTTGTCCATTGTCTACCTGATGTTTTCAAATGGGATTCATCATCTTCTTTTCATTAGATTTGATAGCATGGCTTTTGGAGAAAGTCAAAGTGAGGATGAACAATTTGAAAATGACTTAGAGACAGATCTACCCAACTGGCAGCAGCTTGTTAGTCGAGAAGTGTTATTGGGACTAAAACCTTCTGAGATCAAAAGACAGGAAGTGATTAATGGTGAGTTTAATCGGTTTTTATTTTTGTTTTGTTTTTGGTTCCTTTATATTGAATTTTGTAAGGGGGAAAGCAAATTCTTCAGCTCTGGAGTTTGCTTCAGTGTTTCTGCTAGCTTTTTAAGATGAGTAGAAATTACATGCTTTTAGTTTCAAGTTGTTATTTTTATTCATAAATTATAAATGAGGAAGGTATGGCTCAGGGTAGTTATTTGAGTTAATCAAGATCATACAGCTGATAAGTAATAAGGAGAAAATTATGCTCCTAGTCATCCTTTATCCTAGTGCAGTGTTCTTCATTTCACTTTAGCATACATGTGACAGATACGTGACATGGATGCTATACCCTCTGTTGTCTAAGTATAGGATGTGACTTGAATGAATATCCTTCCCATCTCTAATAGCATTGACAAATAGTGAAATTACAAGCTTGGCTCCAAAATTGAGGGTTTATAGGCAGATAAGATAACCAAAAATACTATTATTTATGAAAAGAACTTGATGTAAATGCTATATAACATTTGTGTATACAATTTTCTAATTTTGTAGTTGTGTCAGAAAAGAGGATTAGTTTTGGGGTATAGTGGTAACTTTTAAATACAAAATGTTTTGAATCACAGTTTTCATTTATCATTACACGTACTGCTCACTTATCAACTATGTTATCTGACATTTCACATTTATGACATCTAATTTACACATTAATGACATCTGTCAGTAATGAATGCTAAGGTGCAAGGTGAGAGTAATGTAGGTGTGATGGTTAAGATTATGTGCCAACATGGCTGGGCCATAATTCTCAGTGGTTTGGCAGTTATGTAATGATAAAATATGTCAGTTATGTCACAATGTAATTTGGCATTTATGTAATGATGTTGTTGTTGTTGTTATGTGCCTTCGAGTCAGCCATGACTCATAGCGACCCCTCCTTGGGTTTCCAAGGTGGGATCACTATGGAAGTAGATTGCCCAACCTTCCTTCTGAGGAGTGGCTGGTGGGTTTGAACCACCAGCTTCTGGTTAGCAGTCAAGTGCCTTAGGTACTATGCTACCAGAGCTCCTATATAATGATGTAGTCATCCTCCATTTTGTGATCTGATGTGGTCATCCTCCATTTTCACATAATGCTGATTTTTACATTATGACCTGGCTTTTTGGAACCTAATCGTGTTGATAAGTGAGAAGTGGGTGTATTCAACTCTCAGAGTCAGTATGAGGAGAGTTTCATAGACTCAAGAAGGTAACATTATTTTTAAACTGATTAATTTATTGTGAACTTATTTGCTATTTACTTCCAGATGAAGCCTATGGTCGATCCCATGGAATTATTCTAAGGAAGATAATATTTCTTATCTCCTTTTTTTTCTGCTCAGAATTGTTCTACACTGAAAGAGCTCATGTTCGAACACTGAAAGTTCTTGATCAAGTGTTTTATCAACGAGTGTCTAGGGAAGGAATTCTGTCACCTTCAGAACTACGGAAAATTTTTTCAAATTTGGAAGACATTCTTCAACTTCATAGTAAGAGAAATTGACTCTGATCTTTGTCTCTAACATTAATTTCCATAGAGAAGAGATTGTGAGTATAAAGGTACCATAACAGTATAACTTTGTAACTATAGCCATGCTAGTGCTCCTGAGGGAACTCTGGTGTTGTAGTGCCTAAGGTGTTAGACTGCTAACCAGAAGGCTGGCGGTTCAAACCCACCAGCCACTCCTCGGAAGGAAGGTTGGCCAATCTACTTCTGTAATGATACCGCCTCAGAAACCCAAGGAGGGGTCGCTATGAGTTGGGACCAACTCGACAGCAGTAACAGCCAGCCAGCAGTGCTCCTGAAATTATATGTGAGCTTATAACATAAAGAAATAATTGGATCTTTGACTGTATCTTTTTTGCCCACAAACAGCCTTTAGTACATACATAGAGCTTAGGGTCTAAAGTCAGTACATGGAGTAAAAAATATGAATAGTCAAAATGACCCTTGAACATTTTCTTAAATATCCTGTCAATTACAGTATATATGTATTTTAAAAGACATATCCCCTATAAAAATGCATGTATAAATGTGTTTTATAAATAATATATAATCCTATGGTGGATAATTTTCAGAAACTAGTTTATTGTTTTGTTGCTTGGAACACTTGAGTAAGAATACAGAAATTTTACCTTGCTGGCTTTTCCTGGTTATGGTCATCTTGGACTTTTGTGGACAGTTGTATCAGTTCCTGTCTTTGTAAGTCATTTTTTCTTTATGACATTTAATTAACTTTTCAGTCCTTCTTTTCATCAAAAGTACTATCACCTCCCACTTCCTGCACACGAAATTGATGGCTTTACATCTTTGTGGGTGATCTTAGGTTTCACCAGAAGGCATTGCTTGTGGACATACACAGTTTGAGAGGAATAGTAGGCAAAATCATGTGCATTATTTACATTTCAATTCTTTTGAGCATGGTTGTAGATGGAGTTTTGATGTTAAATGCATATTTGATGTAATTGCACTCAATATAAGTAATAGTTTCCAAAAATGTTTCATTCTTTGGCATGTGTTTTTCAGATTGAGCTCAGAGATCCCTAGATGTATTAAGTATTGTGTCTAGGTTTAAGAGTGTTGGAAGCAGCTATACTGCTCTGAGAGTACTTTCTTTGAAAATTTACCTTCTTAGTAAGTAATTCAGCTTAAAATAAATGCATACTTAATTTTTCCCTTTTTCTTTTTCCTTAGTTGGGTTAAATGAGCAAATGAAGGCTGTTCGAAAGAGGAATGAGACTTCTGTTACTGATCAGATTGGGGAAGATTTGCTGAGCTGGGTATGGAAATTTTCCAGTTTTAAAATACACTCTTATAGACAATTGATGATTAGAATCAAGGTTAAGAAACTAACCTTTCCAAATATGCAAACTCATCCATTCTGCAAAGCTAATGTTAAGCTCTGTAAATGTCAGACTTTCTTAATGTAAAGCGTTTAGAGCATATATTCAACTTTTTTCTCATCAAATTAAAGATACTAGTCTTCTGTGTTTTAAAGAGTATAGAATAACACGGACGACAGAAATAATTTAACAGATGTAGATTTTTAGTTGTTGTTGTTGTTATGTGCCATCGAGTCGGACCTGACTCATAGCGACCCCCCTTGGGTTTGTGAGGCAGTATCACTGCAGAAGTAGGTTGCCCCATCTTCCTTCCGAGGAGTTGCTGGTTTGAACCGCCAGCCTTCTGATTAGTAGTCAAGTACCTTAGGTACTATGCTACCAGAGGTTTTTAGTAGTCATCTTCTATTTTTCAAATCCAACATTCTTAATGGATGATATTAGATAATTGGATAGCTCCGGAACTGTCATTACCAGTAGTTGGAAAGTGAAAATTACTTAAATCTTATTTACAATGGCAAATGAGATATTATATTGAGCAATCTGCTGCAAAAGACATCTTTAAAGTGTTAAAAAGCAAAGATGTCACTAGCAAATGCCTGACCCAAGCCCATGGTATTTTCAATCACCTCATATGCATATGAAAGCTGGACACCAAATAAGGGAGATGGAAGAATTGATGCTTTTGAATTATGGTGTTGATGAGGAATATTGAATATACCCTGGACTGTCAGAAGAATGAACAAATCTGTCCTGGAAGAAGTATAGCCAAGAATGCTCTTTACAAGCAAGGATGGAGAGCCTTAGTCTCAAGTACTTTGGACATTTTATCAGGAGGCACCAGTCCCTGGAGAAGGACATCATGCTCGGTAAAGTAGAGGGTCAGCAAAAAAGAGGAAGGCCTTCAACAGAGTAGATTGACACCATGCCTGCAACAATGGGCTCAGACTTAGCAATAATCATGAGGATGGCACAGCACTGGGCAGTGTTTCATTCTGTTGTACATAGAGTCATTATGAGTCAGAACTGACTCAATGACACCTAACAATAATGACTTACAGTATAAGGAAAGGGTCCAGAGGATACAGCAGCAGTTTGTCAAATTCTGCTTATCTTTCTGTCTGACCCTGTCAGTATATACTCAGCAGTATATATGTTTGTGCCAAGCACTGTGCTATATGATCAAAGCAGACGTGGCTCCTGGAGTTTAAAACCAATGGGAAAACAGTCATTAGTTATTTTTAGTATGATGAGTGTTACAAAAACGGGAAGTACTGGGTTGTTATTGGAACATAACAAGGAGATCTAAACTAGAACATACAGAAAGTGTTGGTGGGGAGAGTGTGTTAGATTTGAGACCTTTTGAGAAAGTACTATAGTTAAAACTTTGAATTGCTTTGTGAAGTGTAGACCTTGAAGTCTTCCAACAAGTTGAACTGTACTGTTTAGATGTGCCCACAGAAATTTACTTCAACATATAGACCACTTGAGGAAATGCCATAAAACTTTGTTAATTCTGCGATTATGAAAAGACTAGAAAGTTCACTAAAACAATCATCTTAGCCCTGTCATTGGTGGTGAGATGACGGCATAAAATCTGCTTATCTGGTTAGCAGATCTCTCTTTAGCCATTTGACTCATAGAACAGAAGCAAAAAATCATAATCCAGTCTCACGTTGCAGTTATTAAATTTTTCAAATCCTTTTCTAACCCCAGACCCACTTTGGCATTATTGTTGTTAAGATTAAACTTCTTTGAAGGGTTCAAGTTAATCTATGGCTGTTCTTTGATTATGTGGCTATCATTTTTCATTTTGCTTCTTCATCTCAGTATAGCAGTAAATATTATAACTAGTTCTGCTGGCTTGACAGTACACTGCTGAACTTGAAACCAAAAACTGAAAATTTTATAAGATCATCATTTCATTTTGTAATGCGACATAATGTATCATCAGTTTCCATGTCAAACTTGACTAAAAGGTTGTAAGTCATATGAGTTTACAATAGCATGTCTTGATTATTAAGTAGTTTAATTTACATCTCCTATAAATGATGTTTAACACCAAGTATCAAGTGATGGTCATTATTAATATGACACAGAAGTACAGTTGATCTTCTTATCACAGCCCATTGGACTGCATGAATCTACATGATAAAGTGGAGAAACTTGTGAGCAAAGAGGACCAAAAAATTCTTTTAGAACACACAAAAAGAAGTGCATTCTTTGATCAGCATGATCAAAAAAAAACTCACTGCCATCAAGTCAGTCCTGACTCATAGCAACCCCTCCTTGGGTTTCCGATTGCCTAGTCTTCCTTCCGAGGAGTGGCTGGTGGGTTTGAATCAATAGCCTTCTGGTTAGTAGTCAGATGCCTTAGGCAGTGCACCACCAAATGTGATAGACCTATTTAGAAAATGGGGAAAAACAGAATGAATTAACCGATCTGGCTTGTGACTATTGGATACCAAAAAAACAAATCAAACTCACTGCCATCGAGTTGATTCTTACTCATAGCGACCCTCATTGGGTTTCCGAAGCAGTAAATCTTTACAGAAGTAAATTATCCCATCTTGCTAGTAGGTTTGAACCACCAACCTTCTGGTTAGCAGTCAAATGCCTTAGGCACTGCACCACCAGAGCTCCTTAACTATTGGATCCAGAGAATTAATGTAGAGAAAGCATTGGCCAGAAGTCCTAAAAGGAAAAATCATAAGTATGCCTTTAGATTTACCCATGCTATTTAAAAAAAAAAAAAAAAAACTTTGAAGAGTGTTATACAGGTGTCAGTCCCTTTCCAAGGGGGTAAATATTTATGGAAGTAGATTGCCCCTTCTTCCTTCTGTGGAGTGGCTGGTGGGTTTAAACTGCCAGCCTCTGGTTAGCAGACAAATGCTTTAGGCACTGTGCCACCAGAGCTCCTTTTTGGATCACGTTAGGTACACTTAAAACTGCTTAAGGTTAGGAACATTATTTCTTTTGTAAACACAGCTGCCCTTAGTATTTTCATGACGTTCTGATTAACTAGTAATAATGCTGCTAGTTTTATCTTTAAACATCTCGAGTGTCATATTTTTAGTTGAATAGGAATAAAAGATTGTAGTAACCTATTAAAATATCAGGGAGCTCTGGTAGCATAGTGCCTAAGGCTCTTGACTGCTAACCAGAAGACTGGCAGTTCAAACATACCAGCCACTCCTTGGAAAGAAGGTTGGGCAATCTACTTCTGTAGTGATACTGCCTCGGAAACCCAAGGAGGGGTTGCTGTGTGTTGGGTCCAACTCGACAGCACATAACAACAACAACATTAAAATATCACTTTGACTGTGTCCTTCTTGAAGAGAAGAATACTCTGATTTATTTATGAACCCATTGCAAGAGGAGTTTTCACAAAATATCTTCCATGTAGAAACTTTTGGGACTATGACTTTAAATAAGAGGTTGTCTGGAAAACCTCTTTGTAAACCATACAGCAATTACAGTGTTGTGGTAGTGTTGGAAACATTTATTCCCTCTATATACTTTATTGGGAGCTCTGGTAGCATAGTGGCTAAGGCACATGACTGCTAACCAGAAGGCTGGCGGTTCAAACCCACCAGCCACTCCTCGAAGGGAAGATGGGGCAATCTACTTCCGCAGTGATACTGCCTCAGAAATCCAAGGAGGGGTCGCTATGAGTCGAGTCCGAGTCGATAGCACATAACAACAACAACATATACTTTATTATAGTACTTATTTTGACTGAAGCACTTGTTAGGTGGTTTATCAGAAACTTTTAAATCATAGCATACACAGATTTAAAAATACCAGTTAAAAGTATAATACTTAGCTAAAGGGGTTTATAGACTCATGGATCTCTCCCTCAAATCAGCTCTAGCCTCTGCACAGCAGTGATTTAATTTTATTCTTACCCAGAAAGTTATGACCTGCTTTGGGTTCATAGTGTGTAAGAGAGAAAGCTGGAATCCCAAGGATTTGCTTCCAGGAGGAGTCACAGCATAATTTTGTGCTGGTGTCAGGATCTAAGGAAATGAAAATTTAATCTCAGTCTCCAGGCATTTTTGTGTCTCGTATTCCCTACCCATCAACCTTTCCTATCTAATTTAGAAGTGTGCAGATTGAAAGGTAATATATTGTGGTAGCCTAAGAGCAAGAAAACATTGGATTTGGTCAGGAAAGTTTTGGATATGTCAAGGTGTCAGACTTTTTTCATGGATAAACATTGATGTTTCTCATCGCTTGAGAATACTTACTTGAATGTTGAAAAGGATTGTAATTGTCATCTTGCCTGGCATTATATAAGCTCAGTATCCCATTCTCTATTGTTTTCTTTACATTCTTGGCACAGTTCAGTGGACCAGGAGAGGAGAAGTTGAAACATGCTGCTGCTACCTTTTGTAGTAACCAACCTTTCGCCCTGGAAATGATCAAGTCTCGTCAGAAAAAGGATTCTCGATTCCAGACTTTTGTGCAAGTGAGTTGAGTGATTCATGTAAGAAAAAAAACTAATGCAAGTTTTTATCAATTATAGAAAAAACTATAATTTTTATAGGGAAATTGTGACTAAGTTGTTTACAAGGATTATATCCATGTTACCATTCTTTTAAAGCCATAAGTTTCTTAAATTAATGAAGATATAAAGTTAGTATTGGAATGGTAAATAATAAAGAATATAGATCAGGATTAAAATATGTGTCATAAAATTCCACATTGTCATGGGAATATTATCAGGAAATGACTCATGTACTCTATTAATAGAATATTGTCAGAATATTAAAATGAGCTAATATCAGTCCCAGGGAAGAATATAACAAGTTATATTCATTGGAGTATACAGGTAGTCCCTGTGTATTGGCCTCCATTCTGACAACTCTGTTGTTAAGTTGGTTCTGACATAAGTCAAATACCTCTTTTTTTCAGTTTTTATTATTACTACTATTTATTATATCTTTATAAATACAATCTTTGTCCTTAGGGATTAGAACCATTACATATGAACTTACAGATATATTTTAATACATACATACATAAACAAATATCATAAGGGAAAAAAAAGAGATGGTTGTAAGTGCAGTTCATCGTAACTTGAATACATCGTAAATTGGGGCCACCTGTATATTGGTATGTGTCAAGGGATGACCAACTACAGCCTATGGGCTATATCCAGCCTATTGCTTGTTTTTGTAAATAAAGTTCTATTGGAACATGATGTATTTGTTTCCCATTGGCACATAACAAATCATAAATGTAGCAACTTAAAACAACATAAATTTAGTACCTCACAGTTTCTGTGGTTTGGGAGTCTAGGTGTTGTTTAGCTAGGTCCATTGTTTAGAGTTTTACTAGGCTGAAATCAAAGTGTTGGCTAGGGATACAGTTTGTATCTGAAGCTCAGGGTCATCGGGTTGTTGGCAAATTTCCTTGTAGCTGTGTAACAGAGATCCTGTCTTCTTAGAGTTGTTAGCTAGGGACCATTCTCAGCAACTAGAGAACATCTGCACCTCTTTGCCATACGGTTCTCATAGACGATTCCCAACATGGATGTTTACTCCCCTCACCCCCAGGCAGGGAGAGGTGCATCTCTCTGATACTTTACTTTTTTTTAAAGGCTCTGATTAGGTCAGGCCCACCTCAAACAGTCTTCATTTTGATTAACTTAAAATCAGCTGATGAGTAGCCTCATCATGGGAGTGTTTACCCCATCATATACACAGGTTGCACCAATATTCAAGGGGGGTTCCACCATTTTACCCTAAAACCCATTGTCATCAAGTTGATTCCTGTTCCTAGTGACCCTATAGGGCAGAGTAGAACTGCCCTATAGGGTTTCCAAGGTTGTAAATCTTACAGAAGCAGACTGCCTCATCTTTCTTCCACACAATGGCTGGTGGGTTCAAACTGCTGACCTTTGGTTATTAGCCCAGTGCTTTAACTGCAACACAACCAGAGCTCCTTCACCAATACTACCAGAGGGTAGGAATCTTGAGAGCCATCTTAGAATCTGGCCTACTATACATAGCCATTCCCATTCATTTACATACTGTCTATGGCTGTGTTTATGCTGTAACATCAGAGTTGAGTAGTTGTGACAGAGATCAATATGGCCTTCCTAGTCTAAAGTATTTACTCTCAGACTCTAAGAAAAAACCTTGCAGATCCCTGGTATAGATGAGCTGGCAAATCCAGACTGGTGATTCATTGTGCCTCCTTAGAAAGGCAGATAGCAATTAGCTGATTAATTTTTAGTAGGAATACCAATCAGAGGAAAATGAAAGGAGATTTTCTGAATAGTTGAGGATGAGACTTTTTGTTACACACGAAAGCAATTCTTAGAGTTGATTATGGGCTCTCTCAGCCCTTGCTTAAACAGAAGACAAAGTCTTTGGTTACTAATAAAGGCCCCTTTCCTCCATTATGTGATTAAAGGAGAAATCAAAAGTATTGCATGGTGTGGAGATGTCTTGGCCTTTTCATTATCTTAATTTAATAATCAGAACTATGAAGAAGTAAACATACATAGTCAATACATATTATGTGCTAGGTAATTATAGTCTCATGAGAATTAGGACTATAAAAATAAGAATTTACTTATTTCACTGTATAATTTTAGGATGCTGAGAGTAATCCACTATGTCGTCGTCTGCAGCTGAAGGATATCATTCCCACCCAGATGCAGAGGCTTACTAAGTACCCTCTTTTGTTGGACAATATTGCCAAATACACAGGTACAGCATTTTCACTGAAATTAAAAAGCTTAGGAACGAAAATTTATTAAGCCTGACCAGTGTGGGTTCCAGAGAGGAGGTGGATTTAGGGTACATTATAATTCCATCCCTCCTGTTTTGAAACATGAAGTAAATATGAGTTTCTCAACTGATCTTTGGGCTCTTATACCTGGGTCTCATTAATATCCCTTTCAACCAAACCCTTGTGTCTTAAGTGTCTGAGAATTTGAATGCATAATTGGAAAATTTAAAATTATGATACTTTATAACACAAGTGGTTTATACTCATAAATTAATTTTATACTTGATTGTATAGTTGGACTATTATTTGGAGGATTATAATTTGAATATTCTGATTGTGCATTATTTACATTGTAAACATCAATGTAGCATTAACACATTTTGGTGAATTTCATTTTCTTTCAGTGATGCAAATGCCATAATCTTTTTTTTTTTCTCTTTAAATATAATCTTAAAATTTAAATAAATTTATTTTGGGTTATTATGAATTGTGTTGTCATTAAAAAATACTGCTTTGCAGGTCCACTGCACATAATCATGGAGGCTGTACACTGAATCTGGTGTGGGATAGGGGAGGCATTTATATAGCTTATAATGTGAATGGGACCTGCCCTTTGGAGTTGTATAACATAGCAAGACCAAAGCATAACTTTTTGGATTCTATACCGTGATTTCTTTAAAAGCTTACTATTTATGTTTAAATTGTAGTCATAATATGTCTCACTACTCCAAAAAGTATCTGCATCAAAATTTTGCTGTAGGTATTCACTTGGTATAAAATTACACACACATCTCACTTATCGACATGGTCAGGTTCCAAAGACCAGGTCATTATGTGAAAATCAGCATTATGTGAAATAGTTACGATTTCCTGCCCCAGCTTCCCCTCTTCTGTGGCCCAAGCCTTCCCTGCTAGGTCGTCATGGCTCCTCTGTATCTGCATCTCACTCTCACTCTGCTCACTGGAATGTGAATCTGTGCTGCAGGCTACTGGTCAGGTGTTCTCAGCAGTCTAGTGTCCCAGCTTGGACTCTGTGGCATACTAAGTACAGAAAGTGGGGCAGTGCTGGCTGGACAGTGCACAGCAGCCTTGGCCAGGGGGTGGCTGCTGAGTATCACCCATGGCTGTTGCACCCTCCTTGCACCTGCTAGCTGGTACCGCATGCAAGAGGAGCTCAGCACTGGGAGAGCCTGGAGGAGAGAAGCTAAACGCAGGCTAGGAGGAGCCAGAGCTTTGGGACTCCTCGGTTCCAGATGGGGGTTAAATACCCTGGAAGGCGGCACAGCTCCTCCCTCTTCATGCAAGCATGCACACACACATGCAAGTTGAAGGCAATGATGGTATATGAGTGGCCGGGGTCTTCAGTGCTCAAAATAGTCAGTAGATCTTTTCTCTTCTTATAAATGCAAAATGTCAATAATGAGATAGTGGATAAGTGAGGAGGGCAGGGGTGTGTGTGTGTGTGTGTGTGTGTGTGTATACTTTTTTGGGGGAAAAAAACTCTTTTCTCATTTCCTCCATTTTACATTTTGCATTTTCCCTGCATATTTAGAATGGCCAACAGAAAAAGAAAAGGTGAAGAAAGCTGCAGATCACTGTCGTCAGATCTTAAATTATGTTAATCAGGCTGTCAAGGAGGCAGAAAACAAGCAGGTAAGATGGGAAAAGCAAGAAAATAGATGACATAATAAGAATGTTAAATTAGTATTAGCTGGAATCTGTACAATAATAATTAGAGGGCAAAACTTTTTTTATGTTTTAATGGTGATTTGGGTGAAAGTTTACAGAGCACATTCACTTTCTATACAGCAGCTCACATGTACTTTGTCTCATGACATTGACTGCAATTTCCCACAATGCTGCAGTTCCCCTCCCACTTCCTCCCCATAGTTAAGTCTTCTCTGTTTCCTTCCTTCCCATACACTCCTACTTGAAGGGCAAAACATTTTTTACCTATTCATATGATAGGTAGGTCCAAATCATTTTGTGACAGAACATTAGAGCTGTGTTTGACTTTTTTGAGCATCTCAGTTGTGATAGCTGCTATGAAGGAGAATTTTAGGGTGCTATGAATATAAGAAACGTTGTTGGTTCAGTAGTAGAACTCTCACTTCCCATACAGGAGACCTGGGTTTGATTCCCACCCAGTGCACCTCATGCTTGGTCACCACCAACCCATAATTGAAGGTTAGCATGTGCTGAACAGGTTTCAGTGGCATTTCCAGATGAAGACAGATTAGGAAGAAAGGCCTAGTGATCTAACTTCTGAAAAGCAGCCAATGAAAATGCCATGGATCAGTTCAATCTGCAGCTGATCACAGGACCAGGCAATGTTTTGTTCCATTGTGACTGGGGACACCATTAATTGGGAGCCAATTCGTTGGCAGCTAACAGCAACGAGTATATAACTAGGGGGCCTAGCCTAGTTTGGTGAAGTTGAGCAGTGATTATCAGAGAAGCTTCCTTGAGGAATTGACTTTTGAGCCAACCTCTGAAGAATTAATGGAAATGAACCAAAAGAGTGTGAAAGAAGACAGCCTTCCAGGTATAAGGAATGGCATGTATGGAAGTCCTGAGGTAAAAGGAAGTATGGTCTCTTTGAGAATTTGGAGGATTAGTGTGGATCATGCCCAAAGAGCAGAACTTCTCTGGGCATTGTGATAAAGTGATTGTGATATGAAATGAGGTGAAGTAGGCCAGGGCCAAATCATACAGGGCCTTGTAGACCATGTTAAAGATTTTTTTTTATTATTTTATTTTATTCTAAGAGCAATAGGAATTCATTACAGATATTGAAGAAGGAGGTGGCATGTTCAGGTTTTCACTTTAAAAGTATCACTCGTACTACTCTATAGGGAATAGGCTGAAGGGGGCAAGAGGGTGGATGAAAAGAGCTTAGTTAGTAGTAAGTTGCACCACTTAAGGCCAGAAACTACAATAGCTTAGAGACATTCAAGAATTGGAGAAGTATTTAGAAGGTAAAATTGACAGGCCTTGGTGATGGATTTCAGTTGGTAATTGATTACGGTAGGATTTGAAGAAGAAGTAATGTCAAGAATAAATCCCAGATCTCTGGCTTGTGCATTTGAAGAACAGGATGGGAGAGTGAAAAAACCCTAGATTTATGGGGAAGCTGATCAGTTTGCCATATCAAGTGATGGAGTTAACAGTAAACAATTAGCTATATGAGTCTAGTTCTAAGAGAACTATACTCAAAATAAAAATTTAAGACTGTGACCATATAGAGAGACTCATTGAATCTATGGACATGGATGTAATTTCTTAGGAACTGAGTATGATGACAGTCCTGTTGGTAAGGCTGCGGGAAAATCGGTACTTTGAAATGTATTGTCTGAAGTGAGAAAGAATCACCTAGGAGGGCAACTTGGCAATACAAACAGTCATTGAGTTAGGAAGAAGATATTTTCCTAACTGTATCTTTAAGAAATTGTAGGTCAGTCAGAAGAGCTGAGTAAGGTTATCTACTTTAGTGCAAGAAAAGACTTGAAGCCTTTTTGATGATTTAAAAGCAGCACATGTAGCAAGTGAAGGTGATTGTGATAAAGTGTTTATTTTAAGTAGGGGTTGGGTCATGCTTTTCAAAGTGAGTGGAAATTTACATAATGTTAAAGCAGGGCTTCCAAACAGTGTTGCTCTGATGAAAGATGGCTGCATCCTGCCCAAAGTTGGTGGCTGGCTTGAATATGTATGGCTTTCCACAGCCCTGCCAGTAATCCAGTGTCATGTATCAGGTTCCTGAAAGGGCTCACTACATCTCTTCCAAGTCTCCCATTCCAGGGCTTAGACCTATAATTCTTCCTGTTCCGGTTACCATAATGAATCACCCAAATTATATAAATTCAGGTCTGTTCCTGTTTACTTTCTCAGCCATGACAGAACTGGTTGGAAGTCCTGCATTAAAGGGCCAATAGGAGTTGTCTGTAAGTCTGAAGTTCGTAACCTAGGCGACTGCCTGTATTTATAAAAATTAAAAATGTGCATACCCAAATATCTACCTTTTGACCCAAAAATTCTTTTTTAGGGATTTACCCAAGAGTAATGAAGGTATATATACACAAAAAGACTTGTACAAGAATGTTTCTAGTAGCTTTATTCTTAAGAGCCAAAAACTAGAAACAGCCCAAGAGTTCATCAATAGGAAAACGGATAAACCTACTATGGTATACAGTAGAATACTCCAGCAATAAAAAGGAATGAGCTACTGATACAATATGGATTAATCTCACAAATATATGTGGGTGAAAGAAAACAGACACAACAAAAGAGTACATACATACGATTCCATTTACAAGAACTTGTAGAATAGACTAAAGCAATCTGTGGTGGAAAAACATGAGAGAAGTAGTTGCCACTGAGGATGCAGTGGGTGAAGATTGACTGGGAAGAAATATGGTGGAACTTTCTGGGATGATGGTATTGTGATTTTTGCTTTTAATAATATTTTATGGTGTTTTAGGTACAAACTTATACAGAAAATTAGGTTCCCATTTAACAATTTTTATACAGATTATTCTGTGTCATTGGTTACATTTTTCACAATATGTCAAGCATTCTCATTATTTCCATTAAGCTAGCTTTCTTGCCCCTCCTTATCTTTATTTTAGGATAAATGTTGACCATTTAGTTTCATATAGTTGATTATTTAGAAGAGCATGGTACTCATGGGTAATAATTATTTTATAAACCAATCTCAATTATTTGGATGAATAGTGACCTCTGAGAGTTGCTTTAGTTCCAAGTTCAAAGAGCATATTAGGGTGATAGTCTCAAGGGTTACTCTAGTCTCTGTCAGTCCAGTAAGTCTGATCTTTTTAAGAATTTGAGTTTTGTTCTTTTTTCCTGTTCTGTCTGAGACTTTCTATTGTGTCCCAGGTCAGAATGGTTAGTAGTAGTAGCCAGGCACCATCTAGTTCTTCTAGTCTCAGGCCAGATGAGGCCATGGTGTTAATGGTGTTAATTTTCTGTCTTGACAAGAGTTTGCCTTGCATAGGTGACCCATTTGTCAAAACTTAGGGAAAGGTACACTTAAGATGTAAATTTTACTTTAAAAAAAAAAACATAAAAACTGTAAGCAAATACCAAATTCTTTTTTCTTTTTCAAATATTGAATTCTTGTTAATGATATGCATACTGAAATGTTTATGGGTGAGGTATATTTATATCTGCAACTTATTTGAAATGCATCCACAAACAAGATGGACTGATGAATAGAGGGATGAATAGATGGATAGATAATTGATAAAAACAAATAGTGCAAAATGTTAATTGTGAAATGTAAGTGGTAGGCATATGGGTATTCACTAAACACATTGAAACTTTTCTCTATGTTTGGAAGTTTTATAATGTTGAAAAAAAATACACATACTGTTAGATCTAACAGTTCTTCTAGGAATTTATCATGCAGATACCTCTACATACTCGTGTAAAGGCATATGTTTAAGAACATTTTATTGTAGCATTGTCAGGTAGAAGAATGGAAGTGACCTAAATGTTCATCGGTACAGTCTAGTTAAGTAAATTATAATTCATTCAGAGTTGAGTATCAAGCAGCCGTGAAAAAGAATGAGACAGCTCTGTGTTCCACTAATATACAGTACTCTCTAACATATATTAATAAGTGATACACACAGGAATGCATATATGAATATGTTACCATTTGTGTTTTTTTAAAAAAGGATTTACACACACACATAGACAAGCCTATTTCTGTACACAGATACTTTGTTAGCCTTCTTGAAGGCTACTCAAGAAATATGCATTAGAGATTGCTATTTTTACAGAAAATTGAAGGGAGACAGAGGACAGGGCTGATGAAGACTTACTTTGTATTTTGTGCCTTATTTTACCTTCTAAATTTTATATCGTGTGCTTGAGTTACATATTCAAAAAATAAATACAAACTAGTTAGAGGGCAATGTGTTTGACAAAAAGAGAAAAAATAACCAGAGAGGAGAAAAACCAGGAGAGTGTAATATCACAAAAGCCAAAGGGAGAGAGTGGTTTTTTTTTCTTTTAATTTTATTTGTTGTTGTTGAGTGTGTACACAGCAAAACATACCAGTTACAGTTCGAGAGAGTGTTTTAAGAAAGAATGAGTTGTCAATCCTGTCTAATGTTGTAGAGAGCTCAGTAAAATGCAGATTTAAAATGTCGATTTTATTTAGGAATGGGGTGGTCATTGATGATCAAAGTAGTAACCTTAACTTCAATTTGTCTAATTTTCAGCGCTTAGAAGATTATCAACGTCGCCTTGATACCTCCAATCTGAAGCTGTCAGAGTACCCAAATGTTGAAGAGCTCAGGGTAAGAGATGGTCAAATTATAATTTAAAAAAGCGTAAAATTCACTAAAGACCTAGCAGATAATTAAAACATTTCAGTGGGAGCACATATCACCTAAAAGATTTCTATAGTTTATTCTTCCTTTCAAATCTCAGATTGTATAAGAATTACTTTAGTCTTTCATTAGAGAACTAACTTTATGCGACAGGAATTGGCAGGAGACTCAGGAGCAGTGGTTATTATTAAGTTTAATTTTATTGTCTTCTCTAGTTTGAATAAGAATAGTACTTTTACTGTGGGAAATTTCCAGATATTTAAGTAAAGCAAGATAACTTATATTTCCATGAAGCTCTTCAAAAACATTAAAGCTTAAACTATTATAGGAATGATTGCCACTTCTAGCAAGTGGACTCTTGTACGAAGTAATTTTGTAGGATTTTATGTCTTTCTTACACTATTTCAGGAGCTCTGGTGGCGTAGTGCCTAAGGCATTTGACTGCTAACCAGAAGGCTGGCGGTTCAAACCCACCAGCCACTCCTTGGAAGGAAGGTTGGGCAATCTTCCGCAGTTCATACTGCCTAGGAAACCCAAGGAGAGGTCGCTATGAGTCGGATCCAACTTGAGGGCAGTGAGTTTGGTTTGGTTTGGTTTTTTTATACTATTTCACTAGGTAGTTGTTTTGGCAGATTTATTTGTTGACTGTTTAACACTACAAAAAAATAAAACAGACTTTCATGTCATATGTAACTGCTTAACAGGAAGTATGCTCATGTTCTTAGCCTCTTTATGTCCAGAAGATGAGATTTCTAGAGCTGCTTATACTAAAAGATAACTCTTACTAATAAGTTATTAATATTTAGTGCAAATCTGAGCATTACCTGTGGGCCTTTCATGATGAATGCTGTATTTCTTAAAACTTTTGTAACTAGGGCCTTGGGACTCATGGTTCTCTTACAGACAAGCATATCCATCCATTTATTCATCGAAAAATTAAGGAAAGGGTTGAGAATCTAGTGGCTGAATGTTTGTAACTTCATTTCCATAAGATCTTATCATATATTAGAGTGAGATTTGGAAGGCAGCACTCCTGAATGTTTTTCTACCAAGACACCTTTTCCTTTTTAGAAAATGTTATGCAGAGTACTTTAATAGGGTCTTTATTCTGTTTGCAAAAATTAACAATAATAACAGTTAATGTAAGTGGTATCTTTTATATTAAGAATTTCTTTAAAAGAAAGATGAAATTATGCAGAACATCATCACATGAATGCTTGGAAATAATGTGTATGCAATTCTCTTTTATTTTTGCAGAATTTGGATTTAACAAAAAGGAAAATGATTCATGAAGGGCCATTGGTTTGGAAGGTGAATAGAGATAAAACTATTGGTAGGTCTCTTGTTATCTGTTGATTTTGGGAAATGGAGAAGGAAAAGAATAAAAAAGTTTCTTAGCTTTCCTTATGGCTAAAAGGAGGAAGAGTAATCAGTCACAATGCCAGTAGTAGAAGTTAGTGCTTCTTTGCATAATTTATGCACTTACAGATCTGCTTAGGTCTGAAGTGTGTTAAATATTCAGGAAAAGACTTTATGGTTCAGTACTGTTTCCATCATTTTTATACTATATCCATCATTCTTATATTCTCATGAGTTTTTCAGTGCATTTTTGTTTGTTTGTTTGCAGTGTTCCTCCTCTCCCTTCTCACCCTCGGTAACCAACAAAGTTTCCTTCCATATATACACCTTTTTTTGACTTTTTACAATAATGAACTAATACTTCTGTGATTGCCTTATTCCATTCAGCATAATGTCCTCCAAGTTCATCCATGTTATGCATTGTTTTGCAGATTCTACATTATTCTTTAATGTTGCATAGTATTCCATTGTGTATGTACCGTAGTCTGGTTATCCATTCTTCTGTTGACGGGCACCTAGGTTGTTTCCATCTTCTTGCTATTGTACATAGTGCTGCAGTGGACATAGGTGTGCATATATCTATTCTTGTCCTGGCTGTCACTTCTTTAGGATATATATCTATTAATGGGATTACTGGATCAAATGATATTTCTCATTCCAACTTTTTAAGGAATCGCCCTACTGCTTTCCACAGTAGTTGCATCATTTGACAGTCCCACAAGCAGTGTATGAGAGTACCAGTCTCTCCACATCCTCACCAGCATTTGTTATTTTCTATCTTGTTGAACTTTGCCATCCGTGCTGGGGCATTGTTATTTTGATTTGCATCTCTCTGATGGCTGATGATCACCAGCATATCTTCATGTATGTGCTGGTCACCTGAATATCCTCTTTGGTGAAGTGTCTATTCATGTCTTCTGCCCTTTTTTAATTGGATTGTTAATCTTTTTGCTGTTGAGGTATTGGAGTTTCCTATAAATTTTAGAGATAAGTCCCTTGTCAGATATGTTGTTGCCAAATATTTTTTCACAATCTGTAAGTCCTCTTTTAACTCTTTTGGAGAAGTTTTTGGAAGCACATAAAAAATTTAATTTTTAGAAGGTTCCATTCATCTGGTTTATCTTCAGCTGTTTGTGCATTTTGGGTTATGGCTGACAGTCTCTTTATGCCATAAATTAGAGCCCCTAAATTTGCCCCTATTTTTTCCTTGAGGAACTTTAGTTTTAGGTTTCACATTTAAGTCTTTGATCCATCTGGAGTTAGTTTTTGTGTATGGTGTGAGGTATGGATCTTGTTTCATTTTTCTGCAAATGGATATCCAGTCTTGCCAGCACTGTTTGTTAAAGAGACCATCTCTTCCCCACGTAATGGATTTCAGCCCTTTGTCAAAAATCAGCTGACCATAGGTTGATGGATCTATTTCTGGGTCCTCAGTTCTGTTTCACTGGTTTATGTGTCTATCATTGTATCATTAATAACCCACTGGCACTGAGTCTATTCTGACTCATTGTGACCCTATAAGACAGGGTAGAACTGTTCCATATGGTGTCCAAGGCTGTAAATCTTTGACGGAAGCAGAATGCCACAACTTCTTCTTGTGGCGCAGCTGGTGGGTTCAAGCCGCTGACCTTTTGGTTGGCAATCAAGTACTTTAGCCACTGCACCACCAGAGCTTCTTTTCAAATCATGATGGATTCCAGTAAAGATAATAAATCTGGGTTAATCTGATTACCATGTCTAGTATATAACCAGGAGCTCTGGTGGTGTAGTGCCTAAGGTACTTGACTGCTAACCAGAAGGCTAGGGGTTCATACCCACCAGCCACTCCTCAGAAGGAAGGTTGGGCAATCTACTTCCGTAGTGATACTGCCTCAGAAACCCAAGGAGGGGTCGCTATGAGTCTGATCCAACTCCATGACAATGAGTGAATATATAGCCAGGCTGTTTTGACTACTGTGGCTGTGTAGTGGGTTTCGAGATCTCCTACTTTGTTCTTCTTCAATAGTGCTTTGCTTATTTGAGGTCTCTTTCCTTTCTATATAAAATTAGTTATTGGTTTTTCCATATCCTTAAAGAATGCTGATGGGTTCTGGATTGGGATTTATTCTCATGAGTTTTTGTAAGCTTTCTTTAGACCAATACATCTCAGAATATCTGTGGTAGAGAACTGTTTTTTTTTTTTGTTTTTTTTTTAATTTCTTATCTGTCACAGACTGACATTTCTGTGAACTGCACTAAAAATAAATTACTAATACATGAAATAAAGGCAATATACAAGTCAGTTTTTACATTTAAGATATAAAATGTCTGTCAAATTATTATGAAGTTTATAAAGTATATCTTAATTTCTATACTTACCACCTTTCCTGCTTTCATTTCTAGATCTATACACATTGCTGCTGGAAGACATTCTTGTACTGTTACAAAAGCAGGATGATAGACTGGTGCTAAGGTGTCACAGTAAGATTCTGGCATCTACAGCTGATAGCAAACACACGTTTAGCCCTGTCATTAAGTTGAATACAGTGTTGGTTCGACAAGTAGCAACAGGCAAGTATGTCCACTGAGCAGCTCTAATCGCCAGATTCATTGTGAAGTTGCATAAGGTAGTGTTGTTTACGTAGCACAACCAGCATAGAGTTTTGCTCATTTTATATTCTTAGGCAAATTAAATTTATTTATACTTACAAAGTGAATTTTAAGTAAGAGTTTATACCTCAAAAGTATTTAAGATACCTGGATTTTCTGAATGATTTTCTGCATTCAAAACATTTTATATAGTTTGCTTTATGCAGATTACTTTAGTGTTCATTCCGTGTTCAAATCATTAATAACCCACTGGCATTGAGTTGATTCTGACTCATAGTGACCCTATAAAACAGGGTAGAATTGCCCCATACAGTGTCCAAGGCTGTAAATCTTTGACGGAAGCAGAATGCCACAACTTTTTCCTGTGGAGCAGCTAGTGGGTTCAAACCACTGACATTTTGATTGGCGGTCAAGTGCTTTAACCACCAGAGCTTCTTTTCAAATCATTGATAGATACCAGTAAAGATAATGGATATGGGTTAATCTGGTTGCCATGTCTAGTGTATAGCCTTTTTAACTTAGGATTTTAAGGGGTTTTTTTTGTACTATTTCACTAGGTAGTTGTTTTCACAGATTTATTTGGTGGAAGTTTAACATAGACTTTTATGTATGTAACAAGTAATCCCAACTTTTTAAATTAAAAAGCTTTCATTAAAGTGGTATATCTTTTGATTTGGTAAAAATAAAGCAAAAGCTGGAAACGTAAGTATAGTTTGGGCTTTTTTAAACCAGTTGAAGTTGGCAGTTATATTTTAACTATACTGAAAATGAAATCCCTTTGAAAACTTGTTCATTCTGTGATGACAAGATAAATTCATGACCTCTTTTATCCAAAACCCATTGAATATTTTTAACAACCTACCAAAACAGCAGTTCAAAATAAATGCAAAAGAGTAGTAGCATTCAGTGCAACTTAGATATATTGACATCTTCCTATTTTTAATAAATTGCTATGGGAACAGTGTTAATTTTTGTAATCTTTGTTTTACTAAAGCAGTATATGTATAGTATAATACAGTAAATTGAACAAATTTTAAGCCTATGGCTAGTGAATTTTTACAAAGTGAATACAAAATAAACACATGCAACCTTTATCTAGATTAAGATGCAGAATATTACCAAGACTCTAGAAACCTCCCTTACGTCCCCTGTAGATACAGTGTTAGAATAAATTTTGTCTTTTTCTCTCCCCCCCACCCCCCACACACAGATAACAAAGCTTTATTCGTCATTTCCATGTCAGACAATGGAGCCCAAATTTATGAACTGGTGGCTCAGACGGTTTCTGAAAAGACTGTGTAAGTATTAAATTGGGCTGCCTTGCTCTAATATTTTTTATTATACTGATGTATAATATTCTACAAACTTAACTTTGTTTAATAGGACTTTGAAAACCAAAAACTATATGAAAACCAAGCACTATCTCTATATTCTTTTAGAGAGATTCTTTTAGAATCTTTGGATTCTATTTTATTAAAATTATCCTTTCTTAAACAAAAAATTATCGGAAGTGCCAAGTGAAGTTTTTTAATGGGTAGTATGTCCAAAACAATGTTGTTGTTAACGTGCCGTCGAGTCAGACCCGGCTGACAGCAACCCCTCCTTGGGTTTCCGAGGCAGTATCACTACAGAAGTAGATTGCCCCATCTTCCTTCTAAGGAGTGGCTGGTGGGTTTGAACCGCCAGCCTTCTGGTCAGCAGTCAAATGCTTTAGGCACTATGCTACTAGAGCTCCCAAAACAATATTAGGCTTTTCTTTAAGGTATAGTTTTGTGTTTTTGTTTTGTTTTTATTTTTGCTTTCTGAGTATATTTAAGAGTGTTTCTTTTTCCTTTCCCTTTTATATTTTGGGTACTTCTTGAAGCTGGCAGGATCTAATCTGTCGGATGGCTGCATCAGTGAAAGAGCAATCCACAAAGCCAATTCCGTTACCACAGTCACCACCATGCGAGTGAGTGCTCCCTTTGTGTTTTAGTAGGGATTATTTTGTATTTTTGTTTAGAAAAGGAATCAATAACTCTTAATTTTGTTGCAATGATGTTTAAGTACCTCATGAAGCTGGAAGATTGTTTTCTTTGTCCTACAGAGGAGACAATGATGAAGAAGAACCTTCAAAACTAAAAGTGGAACATCATGGCATTTCAGTCACTGGTCTGCAGAGTCCAGGTAAACTCTTCCAACCTGCAAGAATGGAGCCTATCTTTCAAAATGCAAAGAAACCTTAAGACTCTTGGTTTATGCAGATTCTGGCATCATCTATTTGGTTTACCAAACTTCACCGAGCCTTCTGTCTGCCCTGAGTGCTGTATGTTTTACTTAACAGACTACCTCTGTAGCTCATGTATTTCCTGAATGCCTCACGTTAAAAGTTAAAAATTTTGTTAAGATATACTCTACCTTTTCTTCCATTGAACAGACAGAGATTTGGGGTTAGAGTCTCCCTTAATATCATCAAAACGTCAGTCTCATTCACTGGGTACCTCTGGCAAATCAGAGGTCGATGATCTCTTTGTGGCTGAGAGAGAGTTTGCGAAAGAGCACCATGCGGATGAGACTCTAAAGGAAGTTGGAGTAAATTATCAAATAACAATCCCAGATCCACATTTTCCCATCTCCGAAGAACGGTGGGCATTGGATGCGCTAAGGAATTGTAAGTTATAGTCACAATTTATTACCAATACTTATTAAGTACTAAGTTGTCATGGTAGCTATGGGTCGGGTCCGACTTGATGGCACATAACAACAACAACAACAACAAGTTGTCATGTATTTTCCAGGCACTTAGGGAGAATCCAAACAAATATAAAGAAGCATGAGCTGTAATTTTTCCTTTTAAGAAATTTACTTGAGAAGGTGATGGAAACACGCTCCCTTCCCCCCCTCCTTTATTTTTTCCAAGTAAATACTCAAACAATTCAGATTTGTCAAAATTGACTGTGTTGGGTGACCATAGAAGCAGAGGCATCAAAGAACAAAGGAGATGTGATTATGACTTCAAAGAATGTATGACTCAGAAAGATATACAGAAGAATAGAAGATATTTAGACAAGAATAATGGTAGGAACAAAAACACAGAGACAGAAAACTCTGAGGGTTTTCAGAAAGCAGTGAGTAGACCAGTTAGTCTGAGATAGAATGTATAAATTAAAGGAATCATATGAGATAAGATTGGAAACAAAGAAGATGTGCTGTTGAACCCAGCTATTGTGAACTTTGAATAACAAATTAAATCCTCCATACTTTAGGAATGTACACCACAGGGCTTCAAGGACTTTTTTTTCAACTATACATATTCTAATTTTCTTGTCAAGATTCTAGTATTTTCCAGGGTGCTGGCCCTCTGTCCCACCCACCCCCCCAACATACACACACAAACAGACATATATACACATGAGAGTGTGTGGCCCTGGCCACTCTTTTAGCTGCCTCTTCCCCTTCACAGTGTGGTTGAGAATCACTAACAGAATATGCCACTTACATATGGGAATGGATCACATCTTTTAGGTGTACTAAGGTGGGAAAAAGTTGTAAAAAAAAGTCCTCTAGCTGTAGAGAACCACTTGAAAAAGTTTTTAAGCTAGGACATGACTAATGAAAAGAGATTAATCTGAGAGAGCTACCTAAGGCTTAGAATGGAAATAAGTTTGGGGTGGCAGAGTTACTAAGTAAGCTATTATAGGTAGTAGTCTGGGCTTGAGGCTAAAAGGTTTGGGCCTAGAGTATCCAAAGGAAGAAAAATAAGTGGTGGTGTTAACACATACTTAAAACAATTGACTTGTTTGGATGCAGGGCAAAAGAAAGGGAATATTCAGGTATATTTTCAGTGTTCTTGAGAGAGATAAGGGGGAGAAAGAGGACCCCCCTCCATGCCCACCTCAGACACACTTTGTTTGTTTGGCAGATGTTATAGGCTCAGTTTTACAACATATTTGAGATTAAGATAAGAATGACAAGGCATTTAAGAGGACATGACTAGCAAGAAATTAGTGTTAGGATTGGTACTCTGGGGAGAGGTGATGGAGAGAGATTGGGGAAGAGATGGTTTTGAATGTCAAAGCCATAAGACTTCATAGAATCTCTGAGGCAGTGAATAGAGAGCAGAAAGGTAGGGGGTCAAAGGCTCAACATACATGGACCTTTTTTTTTTCCTAAAGAGGGCTTCGAACTGATTCTCCTCAGCTCATTCATGACTGATGAAGCAAAACTGTAATGGACCTGAATTTGTAAAATGTGAGTGAACCAGAATAATACTGGAAGGGGAAAAATTACGAGTCAACATCCCGCTAGCAACTTAATCTCCCTCTCAGAAAACAAGGGCAGCATGTGCATTGCATAGCAACCAAATCTCTTGACCAGCAGAGTCATAATCAGTAGTGCCCTGCTCAAATTTGATGGGCCACCATACTGCTTTGAATGTGTGTCTCTCTCCATAGTCCTGGCAATAATCCAGTCTCCTGCATCAGGCTCCTGAAGGTTTACTGTGCTTATTCCAAGTCTGCCATCCCAGGCCTTTCAATCCATAATTATTCCCATTCCCTTATCATTCTGCTTCACCCAACTTTTTAAAATTCAGATCTGTTCTGATTTTACTCTCAGCCATGAGTGAACCAGTTTGAAGCTCTGATAGAAATTAAGCCAGGGATGAAAATAGAGAATTGGTCAAGTTACTCAAAACCTAATTTACTTTAAATTCTCTTAAATTGACATTATCTTAATGATATCTAATGGTTTGACTAACATTGTCCAAGTAATTTTATCATCATGTGAGTGACCTCATTACATCACTTTGTCCATTTGGAATTAAATTGATTCTTATTTTCAACAGCCTCAAGAAGCTGTACTTCTAATAAGATAATTTTAAAAACACTGATAAATATTTCCTTATTCTTTGAAATTATACATGCTACCAGATCATTAGAATTAAATTGCATTACAAGGCACTTTTATTTCTGTCTTGGAGATTCTTTGGGTTATTATAAATAGTAAAATAAATTTCTGTGTATCTAAGAAAATTAAAAAATAACATAATGCCAATGTATAGGATGTCTGCTTCAAGAAAAAGCAAAACCTTTAGCATTTTTTTTCTGGCTTAACATAGCCTTTCAGCATCCTGAACAAAAATACCTTTGTGGTATTATTTTAGTTACATGGAACAAAAAATAGAAACATGGGTATTTAAGAATTCTAAGGCTCTGCTTAGATCTTTTCCATTCTAGTTTAGTGTTAAATCATCTCTAGAAAATGGTGCTTTATTTCACTTTCAAAACAAAACAGTGATTGTGTGAAATGAGTATTTGATCATATGTTATTAAAAACGTACTTATTTTTGAGGTATAAATTGGTATATCAGCTAATTTAATTCTGGTAGTCTGAGGTTATACTGAGGTGATATAGTGAATGTGATTTTTTTTTTCCCTTTCCTAAATTTTCAGTGGGTTTGTTGAAGCAGTTGCTGGTACAACAGCTAGATTTGTCTGAGAGGAGTACTCAGGAAGACTGGCAACATTTCCCAAGATCTAGGACAGCCTCTCAGGGGGTACAGGCAGACAGTGGAATTCAGAACTCTGAAAATACTAAGGCCTGTCATCCTGGTGAAGGACAGATACCCTTTAGAACTGGAACTGGTGACATTTCTGCATGTTGCAGTCCAAGGACTTCAACTGAATCTTCCATTCCACGAGATTCAGTGATACTGGCATCCCAAGATAGCCAGGCAAGTAACATTGTAGCCATGGACCACATGATTATGACCCCAGAGATGCCTACCACAGAGTCTGAAGGGGGTCTTGATGAGAGTGGAGAGCACTTTTTTGATGCCCATGAAGCACATAGTGATGATAATCCATCAGAAGGCGATGGAGCCATTAAAAAGGAAGAGAAAGATGTTAATTCACGCATCTCAGGCAAGTTTTTTTTTCCCCATTTATACCTTACTTTTGATTGTTACCAGATGTCCTGTGTGCTGAAATGGATGTTTTGGTATCCTGCCATTACAGTCTGTGTGTGTGTGTGTATGTGCATATGTGCTTATGTGTGTCATACATACACATATTTATTGATTGTTTGATTCATCAAACAATTATTGAATCTATTCTATACCAGACCCCATTCTAGGTGTTGGAAGATACAGAAAAATCTCTATTCTTATTAAGTACTAGTAGGGGAAAGAGTAATGGTAAATAAGTAAACAAATACCCAAAAAAACAAACTTACTGCCGACAAGTCAGATCCGACTCATAGCGACCCCTCCTAGGGTTTCCAAGGTGGTATCACTGCAGAAGTTGGTTGCCCAACTGTCCTTCCAAGGAGTGGCTGGTGGGTTTGAACCACCAGCCTTCTGGTTAGCGGTCAGATGCCTTAGACACTATGCTAAGATGTCATATAATGAAAAGTATTAGGAAGAAAATTAAGTCAGACAAGGGGTATAGAGAGTAATGGGAGCAGGGAGGTGTTATTTTAGACAAAGTGATCAGGGAGAGAGCCTCTGATGAATTGACATTTAAGAAAAGACCTACGTGAAGTGAGGGAACAAGCCATGTGGACTCCTGGAGCAGAGTGGCACAGCAGAGAGAAGAGGAGGTGCAATCTCCTGTGTGGCAAAAGGAATAGCAAGAATGTCACGTGGCTAGTTGTTGTTGTTGTGTGCCGTCGAGTCGGCCCCGACTCATAGCGACCCCTCCTTGGGTTTCCGAGGCAGTATCACTACGGAGGTAGGATTGCCCAACCTTCCTTCCGAGGAGTGGCTGGTGGGTTTGAACCGCCAGCCTTCTGGTTAGCAGTCAAGTGCTTTAGCCACTATGCTACCAGAGCTCCTAGAGGGAGGGAGAAAATGGCCAGAAGTGAGATGAGAGTAGGATTTGGCAGGGGAAGTGGTGGCAAGATCATGTAATGGCTTTGTAGTTTTTAGCTTTTAATTTTTAAAATACTAACTAATGTGAAAAAGGGGAAGACCCTCAATGAGATGGATTGACACAGTGGCTGCAACGATGGGCTCAGACACGGCAAGCAGTGTGAGGGTGGTGCAGGACCAGCAGTGTTTTGTTCTGTTGGACACAGGGTTGCTATGAGTCGGAACCAACTCAATGGCACATAACAACAACATTATGAAAATTATTCAGGAGTTGCCTTGAAATTTTGCTTTAATCTGAGGTGATAAAATTGATTTAAAACTGAACTTGGGAATTAAGGAATTAAGGCTTTCCCTCCTATTCAATAGCTTTTATAGTTGTGAGCAAAATTACCCTATCCCTATTCTCTGATTTGATCACAGGACTAATCTCATCAAACTGTTGTGTCTCTGTCAACAGGAAACTATTTCATCCTTGATGGCTATGAAACCATGCAGGAGAGCTCCACAGATGAGGAGGTTGTCTCCTCGTTTACCCTGCAACCCATGGCAGGTGCCCCCTCTATGGACTCTACCTACCAGCAGCAGCATTCTCCCCAGAACGCTCATTCTGATGGGGCAAACTCACCCTTCACCCCAGAATTCCTGGTCCAGCAGCGCTGGGGAGCGATGGAGGATTCCTGTTTTGAGATCCAGAGTCCCCCTTGTGCAGATTCACAAAGCCAGATCATGGAATACATTCGTAAGATAGAGGCTGACCTTGAACACTTAAAGGTACCTCAAGTTTCAGCATCCTTAGGACTTGATTATAATAAGAAACACATTTGGCAGAGGGGAAGTATAGAATGATTGAAATGCTGATGTGAGTAAACTTGTTCAGGTCCTAGATTTATATGCTTCTTTGATCATTATCCATGAATGGTGGTGGTGTTAGCTATCATTGAGTGAACACAATGGGATCAGACCCATTGTGATCCATAGGGTTTTCAGTGGCTGATTTTTCACTTACTGCTAGGACTTAACTTTCCACCTGAACAAAAAGCTGATATCAGCATATTTTTTTTTTTTTATCTTGTTATAAATCACAGGAACAGAGAAGTTGTAGCTCTATAAACTTTGCATGGGTTTGTGTGGATTTCCAAGTTTAAGAATGTAAATATATTTGGGATTGTTGGCTGGCCTCCATGAGAAGATGTGAACAATAAGCAGAGATAGGTGGGGTTTGTATAGTTAAGAATCTAGGCCAGGAGGTGCTGTAACTTGCCATAACCTCTTAATTGTCTGTGAATCATTAGGTAGTGTTGGTAGTTTCCCAGATGCTGTGACAGATAGAAATTGGCTTCAGTGACTCTCATAATCTAGGAACCAGGACATGAATGGGATTTTTATAAATTGGTGATTGAAGATGGCACTATATTCACCACCAGTTTAAAATTGCCTTGTGATTTCTCAGAAAAGGACTCTGTCTTAAAGTTTGCCATCAGTAGAAACAGCTATCAAAACCCAAACATTTTTTCATTATTTTCAAATAAAAACAAGTAGTTAGAGGCATTAGGGACAGAGTTAAAGTATGATGCCCCTTAATTTTTCTTTTAACTTTATGTGATAGGTTTTCCCTTATTTTATATAATTATAGGTATGTAGCATCATCCTGTGGCTGAGATGAGATGAAATATCTAAAAGGAAATCGCAGGCAGGTCATTTCCAATATAGTTCATACCACATGCTATGGGACTATTTTCAGGGTGACTTCTTGGGGTGAAAAAATCACCTTTTACGATTGTCCCCTCCTCACTTTCTTTTTAACATAGGAAATTCACATTACTCATTAAAGAAAGAAATGAATAAAAAGGATAAAGTTTTGTTTTTTTCCCCACTAACAATATTTTTAACTATGTTAAAGATGACATTTGGAAGCATATATATATATATATATATATATACACACACACACATATGTATATATATAACTAAGTTCGGTTTGTTTTTTGTTTTTCTCATCAAGTTTAAATGAAAAACACATGGGTTTTTTTTTTTACAGAAGGTGGAGGAAAGTTACACCATTCTTTGCCAAAGGCTGACTGGATCAGCTCTCAAAGACAAGTACTCAGGTATGTACAGAAAAGTGTGTTTTAGACTCCAGAGTCATCCTGCCTGAAAAGTACATTGAGTGAAATGATTTATTTTTCTTTAAATGAGCTTCCATTTCTTTTCCATCTTTTTGTTTTGTTTTTTATTTTTTTATTTATTATTTATTGTGATTTGGGTGAAGACTTACACAGCAAATTCGCTTTCCATACAGCAGTTCACATATACTTTGTCGCATGTCATTGACCACAGTTTACCACAATGCAACAGC